ATGTTTTAAGCTTTATTCCTAGTGTCATTTCAATTTACAACTCATGAGCAAAACTGACAAATATGAGTGATTACTAAAACCTTCTTTCTTTTCATATAATGAATCAGTGCATAACACAATCAGGCTGGTGAATGGTCCGAGTAACTGTTGTGGTCGAGTGGAGATCCAGCACAAAGCCCAGTGGGGAACAGTGTGTGATCATTCCTGGGACTTGAAGGATGCACAGGTAGTGTGTAGACAGCTTAGATGTGGTAAAGCCATCAGCGCTCCTCATAATGCCCGCTTTGGTCAGGGAAGTGAACCAACCTGGCTGGATGATGTTCAGTGTAATGGAACTGAGAGCTACATAGATCAGTGCTCACACAATGGATTTGGAGTAGAGAACTGTGGACATGGTGAAGATGCTGGAGTCGTGTGCTCAAGTAAGTTATCATTGTTTCTTGTTGCAATACCCTGTTTAAAGTAAATATATTTTCAAAGTTATTCAATATATTTCTTTATTATAAGACCTGCAGACTCCCACATTGACTCGGATCTCTCCAAACTCTGTGGTCTCACCTGGAGAAGTCCTTCAGTTCAGATGTACCACACCCAGGCCAACATGCATCTCTGTGGACTTCACTTTGTATAAAAACGGGACTTCAGTAAAGAATCAAACTGCAGAGTCTACAACCACGTTTACTCTGACTGTAGATGCCTCACATCAGGGCCAGTACACCTGTGACTATTCATACAGGGAAAGTAACTCCACATCATCCAGGAGCAACTCCATTACCATCACTGTGGGTAAGTGCAGAGAGAATGTTATACTGAACAGCATTAAGTCATTAATTAATTATTAAATGCTGTTCAAATAATTGCCATTGATTATCCATAAGTTATATGTCATTCTAATAGCATTAACAAGACTAATACATAAATACTGTAGAAATGCCTGGTCATGATATTGAATTGGATGGCTAAAATATTCCACTGTCTATCAGTAACTTTTCATTACTCTTATGTAAATAATAAAACACTCTGTGTCATGCTGTTTTAGAAAAATAATCAACAAAGGGGGGCGTAATGATGTGGACTTGCCCATCCCACTGTTACTACTGTTGATTTTCCTCTAACACCACATCCCTAAGTGTTTTATTCTTTTGAATACAACATCAAATTCTAGTCATTGTAGTCTGATTTGTTAGTCCATAGACTCAGAAAATTGTATTCTCCCTTGTAGTGCTTCTCTCATCTCAGAAATTGTCATCTCATAATTGATTAGATTACACATGGAACCATGTACTATAAGCACTGGATTGTTCCTAATGTTCTATTTCTCCCCTCCGAACCACCCAGGGTGGTGTTTCAGCACCTACATCCCTGTGACATTGTCGAAAAGACCCACTGGTCTGAGGTGCTTGCTGCTGAGCGAATAGTATTTGCAGTTGTGAAGCTCAGCAGCAGCCAGTTGGTGGGGAGCTTCACAGCTGCAAACACTGTTGGGTTGTCCTGACTTAGATGACTATCTCCATTGTAGTCTTTTTTTTGTCCATAGACTCTGAAAATTGTATGCTTCCTTGTAGTCCTTCTTGGCCACAAGACCAAAGACTCTGGTACATACGAGAAATTTCATAGGTTCATTTACCACGCCCTTGGCAGTTTTGTCCGAGCCAACCACAGGTGGCGTTGATCCAGAATCAAACTAGCTGTGAGACTCCCCATGTCTTGTCCCAAATGCCCTACTTCCAGAAGTACAGTTTTAATCAGCCTCATTTCAGAGATTTCTAATGGTGTTGATGCAAGCAACCAATCCAAAGCGAGCAACACGACTGCTAGCCATGTGTGTGTAGCAATCTCAAAAGTCTTTGACTGAATAAAACCTAAATGTCTATACTTGGTGCTTAGGCAATGGTGCATGTGCATATCATGCCTCATCAGGCAAAACTACTAAGGGGGCAATTAATCAACAGCAAAATTTCTTTTTGCAATGTAGATATATAGCACATATTTGATTGTTCAGTGTACACTCTGGATTGAATTTAGTTTGGATGTAAAATGGATATTTAGTTGGCTGAACAAATTCACTATTCTTAAGCATAAAAGAATTGAAAATAGGGAAGTTCAGATTTTACTACAGCATGTTTTAAGCTTTATTCCTAGTGTCATTTCAATTTACAACTCATGAGCAAAACTGACAAATATGAGTGATTACTAAAACCTTCTTTCTTTTCATATAATGAATCAGTGCATAACACAATCAGGCTGGTGA